TTGAGGTGGTGGGGCTTTGGGGTGGCTTGGGAATAGCAGGGGCAGGGGGTTGTGGGTTGTAAGAGGGGGGCTGTTCTTCCATACCAGGCACAGGAGGAGGCTGTAAATGTAAGAAGTAAAAGACTATCAGAGCACAGCCAAAAGAAATGTCAGACATAAGAGACATAAGGGGGAGGGGCACAAATGTCTAATATTTAAACATATGTGTTTATTATGCATCCATCAATAGCTGTTGACAGCAGACTGTCAACATTTACAAATGTATATAGTCACAGCTAAAACGTAGACATTTACTGCTTCAACAAACAGACTGAAATGTTATACCTGGCCATTAGAGGGTGGCGTGCCTGTGTAAGGCCCAGGGGGAGCACCATACTGATTTGGTGGATATACAGCTCCATACTGAAAATTCAGAAAGAAACATTTCAGGGTTTTTTGTCTGGCTGAAGACAATCATTTGAATCTGAAATATCTTTACCCTAACAAAAAATATTTTGAATTTTCACTTACTTGGCTCATAGTGTAGTAATAGTTATACGGGTATGTGTATCCAGGATAGTGCTGCTGTGTTTGCTGATACCAAGGATAGTACTGCTGATGCTGCATGGCAGCAGAGTCTGTCACTGTTTGCTGGAACTGACTAGCCTGAAATGACATGCACAAAACCTGAGTCACATTACAGAGGATATAGACAACTATTTCAGTAATGCTATAGAAAAGGAGACACCAAATTTAGCTAGGACAAATAAAACAAAACACACAAGAAACTAAAAAAAAATATGTAATTATTAGGTATTATTAAGTATGACAAAATGTCAAACATGATTTTCTTTCTACAATTAGCAACACCAATGGGAAGGGACTGTGACTATGATCACTTCTGTGTGAAATCATAATGAGATCTGCAGTTACTGTGTAATCCATCTATGATCAAGCCTGTCAAAAACGATGTGTGAAATTCAAATCATGACATCGCAGCAGCACCAATGGCAGTGTTGCGTTCATATCTTATTCATAGACTACGGTAAATTCCACTGCTATCATCACATAGCACACATCCTTAGACAGTCCAGTTAGGTTTCTGTCAGGTTTACAAAATAAACTTATCTGAACTGTTTGGACTTCAAGTGGTAACTGATGCATTAACTGGTCAACAAAAGCTTTTTTAAGAGTGATCAATAGCTGTTTTGTCAATCGTAGACCCGCAGTTTTCCTTACAGATATAACAGATACCATTATTGCTAATCACCTTTGACCCTTGTAAATTCTTAATGTTTCAAAAAATTGTCTCTTTTAAAATCTGTCCATTGCTGTCAAGTTTAGCAAAAAGAAAGGAAGTTCAAACAAAACTAGAGAGAACAGTGTTAATCATTTGACATTGTATTTGTATTGTATTCTCCTGTGAACCTTACACACTTCTGATGCCACATTTTACTGAAATTTTGTAGACCTTGGCTAACTTTGTTTGTTTTCTAACATTTTCATTGTGGTATGAACTGCTTGACTTACTTGATAATTTTTGTATGTAATTAGTGAAGGCAAACCCTAAAGTATGCCAGGTATGATGGAATACAATAAAAACTACAGATTACTATGGGTGTCTGCACAGTCTTCAAATTGACAAAGAAAATATAAAAAGAGCTACCTCAGCTGTGGTCCGGTTTGACTGTGTAGTCTTTGCAGTGCTCTGGCTCTTGTTTATTGAAGCTAACGCTTGTCTTGCTTTCTCCCATTCTGGGTTCTCATGAACCTGGTTATCTCCAGCACTATAAGACCTGTAATGCAGCCATTTATTAGGTTTACATGAAATAAATGACAGCAAAACAAAAAAGGAGCAAATCTCTTTAACATGTATACACCACAACATGAAGAACTCAAAGATAATTTAAACACATATACACAAACACTTGGAGTCTTAAAAATTGACCATAATAGTACATTCCAATTGGTCAGTGGAGGTGTTAAGTGGTGGCGATCTTGAGTTTTGCGGGTTGTAGGGAACTTTAGGGCTGGAAATGTTAAATAGGGAGGTGGAATGAGCAGCTGGCTGTATTACAAAACAGTGCAGCAATTTGTTTTTGTTTGTTTGGTGAATTATAAATATTTCATACTGTGCAGTCAAATTTAGGTCTCCAACCATAAGAGCTACTTTTGCCAATTTGCATAATTTGATATACATAAAATGGAACTAAAAAACCAAAACTAAACGTGAACTACTTGCCCTTGTGACACAGCACACCACTGCACACAACGAAATGTGACCTCTGCTTTTAACCCATCACCAAAGTGAACAGCCTTCCGGACTAAAGTCCGCTTCTTTAACCACAAAGCCACCACTGCCCCGTACTAACTAAATTATAAATCGTAAATCAGTGTCTTAAGAATGTCTTAAGGCCTGCAAATAGGGCGTAGCACCATAACATTCAGTAGCCAAATATAAATTGCTTGTTTTTCTACCTTCCATTCGATTTAGGATCTTTTCTGCTCTAAAACCTCGGCCTTTGTGGAGCTACACCCGAACTGAGCGACAGACTGCACAGTACACGTTTACCATACGTTACATCGCATACGTATGGAAATGTAAAACTTAAACATTACATTTAACCACTACATGTTTGAAATAGCACGTGTGTTAGAATATGAAACTCACCAGTTAGTGGCAGGCACTGCTTGTGTTGCGTTGGCCGCCATTTCGTCGCAGGTTTTGCGTTAGCAAGCTAACGCTAGGCTGCACGGGCTCTGGATGACCCTATGCTATATAGTAAGCGCTAACTGCTACAACTGGAGATAAATAGAATCAAGTCTACCGCAATATAAACGCTAAAACAGTTAAACAAACCAAACTTCGATAAACACTGTACCAAAATCCTAAAAAAAACAATACATTGAATAAATTCGAAGACATCGACAAAAGGGAAAAGATTATCTATATATGTGTTTCGTTGTCCGTTTTCGTGCGAACTCCGTCCTAGCAGACTGCACTGACACAAAATGGCAGCGGAGTATGTATCGGTTTCAAGTGTCGAGCAGTGTGTGCGTGCTGAACAAATTGCCCTGCGTACGTTTTTTCAGGAAGAGCCGACTCTCTCACTCTAACGACCTACGTTGAAGATTTTCATATTACATGACTAGCAAAGTCCTGTCACGCATGTTTTTGAATTTTTTTGAATCATTAACCTCTGTACATTTTGGCCTCTTCCAATCTTTACATAAACGAATTTAATTATCTGTATTCTTAACTGTTTGTGTCTTGCTTTACTAAACATGCATCTAAACCTTAACCATCGCCTAAACGTTGTCTTGTTTCTGAAGTTTCTGGCTTATTCTTGCTGAAGATGAATATACACTTTATAACGTTGTCTTTGATGTACACAGATCAAAGACACAAAAGGCGACCATATATATATATATATATATATATATATATATACATATATGTCTTCTTGTGTTTTTGTTACAGGAGAAAGTTCAGATTCCAACATTGATGTGCTGTGTTGACCCTTCCCCCCACCCCAGCTCCCACCTTGTTGGGTATTGATGAGACCCCATTGCACCCCACCCAATATATGTAAAACGTTCAAATTATTAAAATTATTAAATGATAGTCTTTATTGTCATTGTAACACGGGGATACAACAAAATTGAACCTCTGCTTTTAGCCTATCACCACAGCCAGCAGGGGGCAGCTTTAAGGGGAGCAGTGTGTGGGGATGTTGCCATGCTCAGAGCACCTCATTGGTAACTTGGCATCTGGTGGACTCCAACCTGAAGCCTTCCAGACCCAAGTCCACTTTCTTAGCCACTAAGCCACCACTGCTCACAAAGAAACACACTTGTCAGAATATACGTTGAAAAACAACATGTGCTGTGACATTAATCAGTAATTACAGACTGATGCCTCACACATATACATATATGTCATAGATACACTTTGAGTAATAGTGAAAAGCACTTAGTTCTTGTAAAGTTTGAGAGATTATATTGAATACAGCCTCCTGTGGGTTCTGCCAAGTGAATGATGGCAGCTACCCAAACACTAGAGAAGGATATGAGAGGAGTCCTGCAGGATAACAGCAGCCAATCAATCATGTACACAACATAAATGTTATACATTTACTCATTTGTTTAGGTGACTTGTATTCATTACCTACCATGCTCCATGTGAGCAACACACAGCTGTGGGAAGTCATTGAATGAGTGTGTGTGTGTGTGTGTGTGTTACACAGAGTGGAGTCATTTCCTGTCTGTGAGTCTCACCCCCACAGGAATGACACACTGGTTTCTGCCAAAGGAATCTGTTCTTGTGTAATTTAAATAATAACTGTGTGTGTGTGTGTAAATGCACTAGCAATGTATATTTGGTCTGTATATTTGCATGTGGTCAATATATGTTATAATGTACTGTATATGATTAAAATTAAATCACCAACTCCTGTTCAAACATGTATTTTGCATTGTTGTGTTTTAAGCACGTCATCTCACAAATATGTTCAGCATTTTGACAAGATCTCAAGAACAATGATTCAACGTGACACCATTGTTTGAGAACCTGGAGTTTGGTTGTCTTCCTATTTTTTCAACCCTTGACAGGAAGGAGGTCAAAGTACTCCCAAAGTGTCAGTTCTCTCCTGAATATGAACACAGACTTTGTTTCTCTCAGTCTTTGGATGAGAATCCCTCTTTATCTGGACCTTCAGTGGATAAAGTCATTTCATGTGTCACAAATAAAGACAAACGTCAACTCAAAACCATCTTTTTCCATGAAAAGAAACAAGTCTCTGTGTGACAACAAAGTTACACATTAACCACACAACTTTTTAGGCTTAAAACATTTCATAAAACCTAGGAATTTGTCGGTTTTCTAAAAGAGTCCTAACATACTCTCCTTCTGGAGCACTGATTTAGATGAGATAAATATGGACACTGGAAGACAGATAATAATCCCAAAAGAAGAAAAATAACAATTAAAAACAGAATACAGTTAACAGTGCCACATACACATACATTCCATCATATTTAGAGAAAGATTTGTAGGATATAAAAATCGCAGTATTTAAGTATACAAAAATAAAGAGAAAAGTACAGAGAGCCGCAGTGGAAGAGGAACATTTTCTTCAACAGGTGGCGCTGCAGCCAGAGTCTTCAATACCTCTTGAACATTAAGACTTCTTTTCATTTATTATTATTATTATTCCTAATAATATTATATATATATATATACATATATATATATATATACACATATATAGCATTATTCATGACAATATACATATACATATATACATACCATTATATACCGTATTACAGTGTCGTCTCCTAACAAACCCACTGACATCAACATAAACCCCTTCTTACTCTATGAACTACTATGACTAGAACTGGACCTTTTTATTAATTGATACTTTTTATTTTTATTTATGTATTTTTGTCTGTTTACTGTGGCTTGATTGTTGATTGGCTGACTCAAATTGTAAGTGGCTTTGAATAAAAGCATCTGCTAAATGTAATGTAATTTTCAATTAACTTCATACATCCAGAGCGCATCCAGAAGCAGATACTTGTACTAACCCTAAACCTCAGTATAATTTTGATTAGATAGATTTCCAGAGTTGCGTCAACAAGTCAACTTTACTCTCCATTGACAAAGTTACTCTGTAAATGTCCATCGTCGCGTCTCGTGCGTCACGTGTCGTCCTCGGAAAAATGTATCGGAGGTAGATGGTTTTAAAAGACAGCAGTTTTCAAAGGGTGGCCGCCGTCGCCACCCTTGGCCCTGGCCTGGACTCGCCACTGTCTGGAAAAGTCGAGGGCGCGCTCATCCTGCACGTTCGCGTCACTTCCTCAGTCTTTGCCCATCCCTTTGGAAAAAAAGGAAAATTCTCACACAGACAAACGACCGCAAGAAAAAAGAGCGAGGGAAAGTCGAGGAGGAGGAAGTGTGGGCAAAAGCCAGATGAAAAAGTTGGGAACCGTCAAGGAAAGAGAGTGACGACCACTATTGACGTCTTAAAGTAAGATTTAAAACCAGTCTGAAATTCTTCACTCACTGTATTGAATGAGTTTTACTTCAACTTTTACTAACGATTCTCTCTTACCGTTTACCCTGGCGGCTCTGTCCTCACATTCCCCTCCGTGTGTGACGAACAAACTGTACGTTTCATCTGAATGATGTTTACTGTAGGTTGTTTTATCAAAAGTTTTTAAAGGTTGGGGTTTGGCCTGTAACCCCCCCGCCCACACAGTGTTGAGTGATGATACTCGGCGGTTAAAGTGTGACTGTAGTTCAGAGAAAGACGCCATTGAATGTTGGACACAGTCAGGTAACATTAGCTCCTGTTAATAATCAAACGTGATCATGTTTGGACCCATGGGGAAGGTTTTGTCATTCCCACCTGTATGTGTAACTCCCACCTCCTGGGTGGATCAGACCCTGGGGCGGGGTTAATGTTATGATTTTTGATCCTTATATAAAGTTACAGTCTTGTTTTTGTCCACAAACACCCTAAGGGGGGAGAAAAATATGTGCTAAAGTTGCTACAAGTACAAGTCTCAGCATGGCCGTCGCTGCCACCACAGCAACAACATGCTCATTGGTTCCCCACAATATTGCAAAACAGAGTGAGTTTTTTTTCACACAGTGCCGTCCTGTCAGTGGGTTCAAATTCTAAAAACACAGATTTGAAGGTTAACTGTTCATTTTTAATTGAGTCTGTTTGTCTCTGTACACGACCCTGAATACATGGTAGAAAACAGATTAACGTTCAGATTGTTTTAAAGACACGCCTCACTCCACCTGTACTGTACATACCATGTACGTACAGTACAGGTAAGACCACAGTACTACGTACATACAGTAAAACCTACTGTTCATTTTTCTTATGACTTTTCTAAGAGGGAAACAGTTCAGACACAGCAGTTGAACACACTTCCTGTCAACTCAATATTAAACATGTTATTATTTATACACTCCCTTCTGTAGCCATGCCACTTCACAAATCATCCCGGGCCTCTCGCTTGGACCCTACCATGATCTCAGCTCCCCTGGGGGACTTCCGCCATACCATGCACATTGGAAGAGGAGGTGATGCTTTTGGGGACACTTCTTTCTTGTCCACACTTGGTCCAAGTCCTGCCAGCACTGACCAGGGAAGCCCAGGGAACATTCCAGATGTGGATCCCGATGATCTTCACACAGATGGTCCCGGCGGCCCACCCAACGACGAGCCTCAGCACTCTGAATCTGTGTCTTCACTCACCCTGGAACTGGACTTAGACCTGGGCCCGTCCATGCTGGGTGATGTGTTAGGAGTCATGGATGGGTTGGCGTTGGAACAGGATGTTTTCAGCCCCAAAAGTGACACATCTTTAATGGAAACAAAGCAGGGAAAAGGAGTCACAGGGACATCTGCGAACATGGAGAATGAGCTGAATGGAAAGAACTTGGTTGGCTTGGATGGAGACCAGTTGGGAGACAGCAGGATACCAGGTGGGAGTAGCGTCAAGCAAAAAGGGTTAAAACCAAAGGTGAGATTCAGTGACAAACGAGAGGAGATCATACATCAGTCAGTGGAAGATGAAGAGAGTCAAGAGCTCGACTTACAGGAAGACAATCAGCTGGTGAGCTCAAGTCCAACCAGGGACGAGGTTGAGAGAGGTGAGCGGGGAGTAGAGGAGGGGGAAGCCGTGGTCACTAACCACCAAATGGACTTCCCACCAAGTCCTGCCTCGTCACACAGCTCAGATGGTGATGAAGCCATCCCATTGGACAGGAGGAGGATGGACAGCTGCCACTCGGAGACTGATTCAGAGGAGGAGGAGGAGGAAGGAGAGACAGGAAGAGGCTACACATTTGAAGATGAGTTTGATGATGAAATTGGTCTTTAAGAAAAAGCTGTGGAAGCTATGGAAAACAAATCTATGCTGTTCAGGATATTCAGGAAACTGTATGTTGTCCATGTTAGCATCTTAGCAGAGGGTGATTCAAAGTGGATTTTTAGTGAAGATGTCGTTTCTCAACTGACATTTAAATGTCAAATCTCCACCTCAAAATCCAGTCAAATGTTCAAATGAAATGTACTATGTAGCACTTTGATGTCATTCCTGTAGGATCCTCGCTCTGACGGAGACTTCCTGTTCTAATGTGAGTGGATCATCATTAGTTATCTCCTGTTTATTCATTCATCTTTTTGTCGACTTTAAAAGCTTCAACTGTCTGGACGGGAGATGTTGTCAGAAAACAAAGTTATTCTGTGTATTATGAATTACTGTGAATTGTCACATTCCTGAAATGACGTTGATTCTCCAGTTTGGGCTTCATCAAACCAACAGGGCTGCCAGGGCCAGACTGATGAGAAAATGCTTGGACAATCGTGTAATTATTAAGTGTAAGACGGGGGCTCAGCGGTGTATTTGGTCGCATGTGTCTTTGTCCCTACATGTTCGATGCTGTGTGTTTGTTTCATGCTGTTTAAGGGAGAGGTGGTTACAGTCAAATATATAACCTGTGTTTAAGTGATGATTACAGTTCAAACAATAAACCTCTTGGGATTTGATAGTAATGATGACTGTACTTTTTTAATCATTCCACAGAAGACCTGACACAAAAAAGTTAATAGTCTAAAGACAAGTCAACAAGTCTTTTCTTCTTGTTTGGCAGCATATCATGGAGTATGGTTAGCCTGCTAGCTTACAGCAGGAAGTCCTTCTGACTGAGCTGAAACCATCTGTTGAGTCAGACTTTTGAAACATTCCACAACTCTGAACAGCATGCAGGACAGTCCAGGTGATAATAAACCTCAACTATTATAATTTCAATCATCTTATTTTAAGCACACGCTGGGAAATGTGATATAAAAACTGACACGTTTATAAAATATATAGGAAGGAATTTCAACAATACAGATTTATCTTCAGGGTTTAGTAAAATCCATTTATGTCAGGCTCAGCGTCCATTCTCACACACACACACACAGATGTCCACTACAGCAGAACACACCCACACACACACACACACACACAGGTGTTATACAGAGATGGTCCTGAACACGTTAAATCCTGACAGAGCTGTAGAAACCATCACCCCGGGCAGCTGGGGGTGCCAGTGGATCTCCTTCACCTCTGACTGACCCTGGTGGAGGAACAGGAGCTGAGGAGGTAAATCCTTCATCTCCTCCACTCTGGCGCCCACGTCACACGACTCTACGGAGAGATCCCATTGGCTGACGACGTCGTCTGCCCCCGATGCGGCAAACACACTGGAGTCCATGGGGTTCCACTCAACTGAGGTGATGGGGGCGCTGTGTTGCTTGAAGTTGGCCACAGGACGTCCAGTCTGCAAGTACAGTAAACCTTTTTTAATACTTCTAGTACTTGTTACCAAGTACTCCTGTAACTTGTTTGTCATTCTCTACATTGTATGTCAGTATTTCATATTTGTATTTTTTTCTCTTCTTAGTTAAAATTAAACATTTGTTGATTTACAGCTCAAACTGTGGTGAAATAAACTCAACAGAACATTGAAAACAAAATGTAAAAAGAAATAGTTTTTCTTGCTGCCGAAATATTAACTATAAAACTGACACTATTTTATTCTATTCCTGCTATTCTGGTACAAAACACTTCAATTTCTCCTGCGACCCATTAGTTGGTAGGAATGTTAGCAAGTCTGTACGTCCAGACCTGAAGCCCTGACTCTGAAGCCCTGACTCTGAAGCCCTGACTCGTGAACATGACAATGAAGGATGGATCTTTATTTTCATTTAGAACAGTGGTTCTCAAACTTTTTATACTCTGTACCACCTGAGAAAACATGGAGCTCCCCGAGTACCACCATGATGACCAACATTAGAATATAGCAGCTGTGTTTATAAAGATGTTTATGTTTAATGTTGTATTAATTGTGCATGGTATGTTTCAATTGAAAATGTAAATGTGAAAATATGAATTTTCCCTGCGTACCACTAGAGAGCGCTTGCCTAATGTACCACAGTTTGAGAACCACTGATCTAACATTTACTGAGTCCACAGGTTGACCACAGGTTGACCACAGGTTGATGCTGCCCTTGCCCCCTGTTCACACTGTAGGCCTGTCAGCTCATACCGTTATGAACTGACAAGCCTTCTTCAGGTGTGGTCCCTGAAATTCTTAAACATGCAGTGGATACAAAAACTTGGTCTAATTTTTGGCCAATCTCTAAACTAACACTCTCCAAAATCCTTGAGAAAATAGTTTACAGTCAACTGAATGCTTTTCTGAGTTTTTAAAAATATTTCTTTCCTGCTCCTGACTCAGGTGACTGTGTTCTCTTTGTTCTCGGATTTAACTGGGGAACAGCACTGGTGGTTCAGTGGTTGACATGTGTCTGTTGACGACTCCTCTCTCATGTGGGGTCTTTTCTTTTCTTTTCTTTTCATAGTTATGCAGATGACGGTCAAATCTACGAGCCTCTTAAAAAGAGATAAAAGTCCAGCAGTCCTCTGATGACATGAAGGCCTTTTTTTAAACACTTTTTTTAACACTTGGACTGTTCTGTCTTTTATGAAATGCTGTTCTTTCTGTATGTAGAACACTGTGTGAGCAACAATAAAGTTGGATTGGATCAGTCTTTACCTTAAACTGCCGCAGGTCCCACACCTTCAGGAGGCCGTCGTCCCCTCCAGAGAGGAGGAATGGTTCAGTCTGGTTCCAGCTGATCACATTGATGTCCGAGGAGTGAGCTCCATCAGTGGAGATCATCGAAGTGGGGGGTGCACGGATGTCCCAGATACGAATAGACTGATCAACGGAACAGGAAGCAAACACCTGTTCCAAAATAAAGAGTGGTGTTGGGAAAACACCAAAAAACTGATTTACTGGTTCTTCTTCTTCTAATTTCCAGGGAGAAACATTTGGTTTTACAAATGTTCCTAGGGGAAACAGTTCCAAAAGACTAAGAGGAATAAACTACAAGGGTTTAAAATATTTTTCTTAAATATTAATAGAACTCTCTGAGGAACTTGACGGGTGGAATAAGTCTCCTGTGTATGGACAGCGCCTCCTGGACCAGATGGGAGTCACTGCTGTGACAGCGGCGTCTCTCTAACGGCATAGTTGGAGAGTTGAACTGCGTGCCAAGTGACAAGCACGCCACATCATAACGAGCGTCACATTTAGTCGTTACCCGCTTCTAGTTCAGCAGCAGGTAAAACCACTGGGAGTACTTTACTGGGAGTACTTTACTGGGAGTACTAAGTACCGTGGCTTCGTTGGGGGACCACTGCACGTCCTCCACCGATTTACTATGGGAGCTGAAGGGTCGTTGGTCAATCTTCCAGGAAGTTCCGCCCTCTTGTGGCTCCCACACATGGATGTTCTTTTTACAGTCTCCGCTGACGAGACGACCTGTAGGAAAAAAATTTAAAAAAACAATCACATCAACATTCGGCAAGGACTTTATACTCTGTCACTCCCAACACGGAGGGTGGGACCATGTGTTAGTAAAGGACTTCTTCCTCACCTGGTACTGTAGGGGACCAATCAATCGCAAAGCCTTCACCCATATGTCCTGAGAAACTGAAGAGGGGCGTGGCTTCCTTCTGCTGTCTCATAAAAGCCGCCATGGCAGCAGAATTGTGGACAGCATCCAACTGAGGTCGAAGGTCAAATATTTCTACCTGTCCCTTCTCAGACCAGACAGCAGCCAATGACTGCTCTCCTCGCTGGGTTACCTTGGATACAAGAAGAGAAGTCACTCAGGACAACAGAGACCACGGTTCCACGGTTCCAGTTACACTACGTACTCGGACTCTGTTCATGGCTCCGTAGTGAGGCAGCATGGTCATCTCCATCCGTGGCTTCTTATCTTCATCTTCCTCCTCATCTTCATCACTGTCATCATCACTGCTTTCTTTCTCCTCATCCTTCTCTGTACCATGAAGGTTGTGCATCAGCATGACAAGAAGTCTGGAGGGACATGAAGAAAACAGTCGGTACACGCACTACTGTACATGAACATGTACCCAGACAACAATCTGTGAATAAACCCAGCCGTGGGTTCACCTACTCTTCCTCATCGTTCCTGATTATAGAATAGAACAGTCTTTATTGTCATAAAACAAAATTATCTTTTAATTAACACAAACTTTCCAGAAGAGAAATTGTTTTCATTTGAAGTATAAAAACTCTGACAGTGAAGAACAACACACACACACACAGGTTTTAAACTCCAATCAAACATCATATTCCAATTATATTCCATGTGCGGTCTACGTTTCTACTTCCTTCCACGGTCACATGACCTGCTCCACTGACCTGTTGCTCATGGCCGTGTCGGCCTGCGTGCCGGCACACAGCAGCATGGACAGAGGGAACTGCTCTCTACCGTCTCCATTTCTGTCCCTCACAATGTCAAAACTCAGACACGGGGCACCTGAGGAGAACACACACAGACGGACAACAGCTGAGTTCGGTTTGGACTGGACACGATCCACGTTCGGGCAGCTGTGGACACGGTCCAATGGGACGGCTGCAACACTGTGTGTTTGTTTGTTATTGGACAAACCCAGCAGTGAGGCAGCTGCATTCAAACCTGCAACCATAAATAAAAGGTCTCTATCTATGAACATCAGGATTAGAGGAAATCAACACAACTGTAGAAAACCGAGACAACTTCAGAGGTTTCTAAAAACAGGGGGCGGGGCTTCGTTTGTACACAACACTCAGTTTTAGCAGCTGTGTCTGCGCCGCTGCTTCATGAACACATTCTGTTATTGGTCAACAAAAAGGAGACACTGAAGTATGAGTGAGTGTGAAGAACAACGTGTGAGTGTGTGTGTGAGTGAGTGTGTGTGCGTGTGTGTGTGTGTTTGTGGACTGCTGTGAAAGCTCAGCACTTTCACATTTGCATAAAAGGCTCAAGTATCGAACGGTGAACGTCGTCAGAACCGGTTCCTCCGGAGATGAAGACAACACAGGGGTTGTTTACTACTATTACCTGTCTGACACTCGTGGTACATGCGGTAGGCAGAGCGGTCCATCTCCAGCTCCTCTCCGGGTGGAAGCGGCTCGATGCCGGGTACGTACACCTTCTTCTGTGCCTCCGTGTCCTCTCCTTCCTCCCCCATCTCTGCCTCTTCATCATCCTCGCTGCCAACCTCGTCCATCTCCTCCATTTCGTCTCCTTCTTCAGCAAACGTGTCGTCGTCGGGAGCAGACATCTTGGCACAGACAGAGTTGCTTACTTCCGGTAATGTAGGCCACGTGGTTTAAACACCACATGGTCCCACATTCCTCCTCCTCCTCCTGCTGCCTTCCCATTTCTCCTCCTCCTGCTGCTCCTCATTCCCTCCTCGTCTCATCCCCATTTACGGGAATGTCTCCACTCCCTCTGGCCCACGGCTCGGTGCTGCCAGTAAAGATCAGACTTGCAAATATTTGTATCGGTGGCTGACGGAGCAGTTTACATCTCATCACATTTAATCACCTCGTACTGCCCAACACGGTGGAGAAATAACCCCCTGGAGGTTGACATTAGTAACAACATATACAAAACTATATACTTCACATCAAAACGATGATTTTAGACGTGGGTTCTACTTGGGTTCTACTTTTAGTCTTAATCCATTTATGTTGACAGGCTCGGTTGGAGAAGTGGGTGGTGGTCTGGCCTTACAGTTAAAAGGTCAGTGGTTCGATTTCCTGGTGGGTAGAGATTAAGTCTTGTCGAGAAGAACGGGCATCAATCATACACACTTCTACCAAACCACAACAACAAAAGTGGAAAATATTTAGATATAGATATAGAAAAATTATTTAGATATAGAAAAAATCAAAATCAAAATCTTCTTTTCCTTCTTCTTCTGGTCATTTAAAATCATGTTGTAATGAAGCTAAGATGTCGCTTCATCTTTTAGGAACTCCCATTCACACATAAGGGCTTAAAATAAGTAAATATATGTAAATATAAGTTATCGTCAAATCAGTCTGGCTAGGAAAGACTAAACTAAAGGAGATAAAGAATATCTCTCTCTCTCACACACACACATCTATATGCACTGTATATGTGTGTGTTAGAAACACCTTTATAAATGGGTGAATCATAACATTTGACCAGTGTTGGTGCTCATGCAGCAAACACACATGTAAACCACAGCTGGTCGTCCCTCAGTCCTGGACCAAGTTGTTATTAAAACAGTGGTAAAATCTGGATCTGGATCTGGATGCATTCCAAACCTGGTCTCTCCTTCATAGACAGGACTTTATTTAACAGAGTCCAGAAGAGAAACGTTCATGTTCATGTCTTGTTTCTGCTCCAGTACCATTATCTAAGTTTGTGTAATTTGCATTCATGCTGCATTACGTTTGTTCCTCCTCCCACAATGACCTCAGGACATCAATACTGTGGAAGAAAAGGGAAAAAAAAAGGGTTGAGGTCCGGGCCAAAAATCTGTTCCCACCGTGGCAGATGTAATTAAGGAATTATGAAAGTATAAGGAAGGTCCTTTAAGGACACAATTGCACCCATGAAGTGTGTGGGTGTGTACACGCAGGGGCAAGTGTGAGCTCTCAACGCTGCACTTTCTGTTCCTCTGACTCTAAGATCTGTTCAGGAGCGGAGAACTCTTCCAGGACAAATTCCTCTCTCATCTGTAACTCATTTTTTTTTCTGAGAAAAAAAAACACTTTTGAAGATTCTCTCCAAACATCTCGTTAAAAAAGCAGACAGTTTTAAAATGAATAACTGTGTTTGGATCAATGACTAATGTACGTGAACGTAGGTGGTATTTAAAAAACAGTTGACCCCCATTACCCCCCACCCACCCACCCTAACCCCAGCTGCACCCTGGGGTTGCAAAAGTAAAATCCAGTTCTAAGCTGGTTTATGTAATACTGTATGTAGTACTTGTGTAGGATTTAGAGTAGGACGTCTTCTGGTGTGAAGGAGACGTTTCATCACATTTATATTTCATTACACACCTCACTTCATCAATAATCACTAGCCTTCCCTGCAGCTGCAGTCTGGACCCACCTGAGCCACAGCAGGTCGTCGTCAAGACCAGGACAAGACATGAAGCCCAGCCGAGCCACGCTGAGACACACACATCCTCAGATACAACAGGTCTCCAACAGGTCAGAACTTCCAGAAGGTTCTCCCACACTGCACATAGTAGAACGTCCACTTTCCTAGTCCAGTCTCCTGGTCCAATCTCCTAGTCTAGTCTACAAGTCCACTCTCTTAGTCCACTCTCTTAGTCTAGTCTCCTAGTCCACTAGTCCACTCTCTTAGTCTAGTCTCCTAGTCCACTCTCCTAGTCCACTCTCTTAGTCTAGTCTCCTAGTCCACTCTCCTAGTCCACTCTCCTAGTCTAATCTCCCAGTACACACAGGTAAGCATGACTCGTAGTATACTCTAAAAGTCACCTCAGGTAGGAATACTCTCAGTTAGGACCTTGTACTTGGACAGTACACGTGGACTTCACCCAGGGACTGGAGGAGAAATATCTGAATGTCTTTAATTTATATATACTGTATGTACAAAAGCGAACATCAATAAAGAATCATTTCTTACATTTGCACCGTGTCACATTGTAAACAGTGATAAATTCCACACCCGTGGTCGAGGCCACAGTATTTACCTCACGTAGCATGACGAGCACATGTAGCTGTGGTCGGGGACTGCTCTAGAAGAGAGTAACTAGAAGTTTATATCTGTGGTGTCAGCTGTTACAGAAGCACTAACTTTGGACATGAGATGCAACCTGCGCATGTCACTTGATATTAACCAAAGATGACAGAAAGCTCCAGAAACAACCGTTCAGTGCTAAGAAATGAAAGGGTTTGCATTTTGTGTGCATTGTCATGAAGAGCTCCTCGTGGTGGTGGCTACGGCAAAAGCCACCTGTAGAGTCTCAACAGTAAGGGGCTCCAAACAGAAGCGGAGTAAGATAGGGGTGGTGGACCACTGTTGGACGTGAGCTTTGTGAAACCGGTCTTCTGCTCAAGCTGACTCTCCTCCACACTGCTGATGGCCCGAGTGGTCAAGAGCCTCGCCCTCGACGGGCCGTAGTCCTTCCTGTCTACAGCAGGGGGCAAAGTGGGCAGTGTGCATGTTCCAATAGAGGGTAAACATCCAACGTGGAGCCACCGAGCCAATAGTTCTGAAGTTAGCTGGAGGAGTTTCTCAGGAGAAGAAGATAGTTTGGGGAACTGGGTTAGATCTGTCTCCTCCTGGAACCTCTGTGAGAAACAAAAAGCATTTCCATTCTGAGCAACCTGAAGACGACAACAACAGAACCCCAAAGAGCCACCACACACATCAACTCTTGTAACTATGGTGACAACAGTGTGAGCTGCTGTGTCAAACCAAACCTGTGTGTGTCTGTTCCTGTGGATCAGTCTTTCCAGTGTCTGCTTTAGATTCAGAACCAGGGTGTGATTCAAGTGCTCGTCCCACAGGTTTCTGAGCAACACATGCCAGGAGTCCAGGAGAACCACGGCAGCAGGGAACACACAACACTGTACGGCCACGCAGTCACACACACACACACACACACACAGAAAGGACGACAAGTACCAGCATTAGGTTAGGGTTAGCAAATCATTCCACAACTCACAACTGACTAAGGACTTGACTGTTGGGTTATGAAGGAGTCCTTCAAAAGTTGGAACACGTGATTATGGTGGTGAGTCACACACAGATGATTATTATGGTGGTTATTGTGGTGGTTATTATGGTGATGTTATTGTGGTGGTTATTATAGTGATAATTATTGTGGTTATTATAGTGGTTATTATGGTGATGATTATTATGGTGGTTATTGTGGTGGTTATTATGGTGATGTTATTGTGGTGGTTATTATAGTGATAATTATTTTGGTGGTTATTGTGGTGATTATTATGGTTATGATTATTATGGTGATGGTTATTATGGTGGTTATTATGGTGATATTATTGTGGTGATTATTATGGTTATGATTATTATGGTGATGTTATTATGGTGGTTCTTTTGGTGATTATTGTGGTGATGGTTGTTATCTTGTTTTTATCTGAGTGAATGGAATCTTACCGGCTCAGAGTCACAGAGCATGTCTTCTGTATAGTGATGTTCTACATAGTAATCCTTTGGAAACACTGTCCGCTGTGGAGAGATGAAAGTGTAAAAGAAATACGTCATAAATAAGTAATGGATCATTTAGATAAAAAATATTTTCTGTGGTATGTATCATTTAATAACAATTCTTAAATGATACAGTATATATATGTATATACATGCACACATATAAACACACACATTTATATGTATATATACATGTATGTGTGTGTATGTACACACACTTCCCTCACATTGACTTTGAAAGTTTGATAGAAAGCAGACAACAATAATCTCTAATAATAACAGCACTGTTAGTCTTGTGATGACACCGTGGTCTGAGGCTTTGACTTACAAACCCAGTTGGATTAGAGTCAATAGCTGCTTTAATGTTTTTCACCCCCTCCAAGTCAAAGTCACATCCGTCACATTGGACCATCCAGACTGATAGCAACAGCAACACTGTGTGGGACATGAGTGAGAAGGAACGAGACACGGGGATCATTGCTGGAAACTTTCTTTCCAAAAAACATGACATCATTTCCTGTGTCAAAAGGTTGTCTTTGAAGAAAACAACATGAGACAGAAGGCGATGGTGCAGCTAACATGGTAAAGAAGTGGAAATGAGCTCTTGAATGCCACAGTGTGCAGCAGTAAATGATTAGAAGAAGACGTCAACGTCAGCTCACCTGGCAGTGACATCCTTTTATCTTTCTGAGAACGGACACTTCTCCATTTCTGTTGTGGACAGATGTTCTTCTGTGTCAGTCTGTGGAAGGCAAACTTTCCTCTTCGGGTTCTCCACCTCCTTGTTTTTGATCTTCACTCTTCTCCTTGGCAGTCCTTAGACATTCCTTCCCCTTTGTACTTTCCAAAAAAGAAGAAATCCTGACTTGTGTTCTCACGCCATCCTGTTTTCCTACTGGGGATTCTCCCACTTTCCCACTTTCCCTGTTTGTGTTCACTACAAGCCTTTGTCCTCTTCAACACTCCTGACCTAGAATCTCCCTCCACAGCCTGATCTGAGTCACTCCTCTCTTCCTCGTCGTTGGTTCATGGATAAAGAGCCAGAGACGCTGGCCTCCTCTTCTGTCTCCCCCTCTGTTTGTCCTCCCTCAGACACAGGCAACAGGCTCAAAGTGAAAGTGCTCGGCTGGATGGCTCGTCTGCTCCCTTTAAGTCTCAGCCCCTCCCATTACCACACGTTTTACCTCTCTATTGACTGACCCGGCTCCCTCCCCCTCTTTTCCCCACATTCTCTGACACCCACTCTCTCACCCCCATCCTCCTCCCACCAAACCCAGCCTGGAGGAGTCATGGAGTTGGAGCGCGTGTTTTTCATTTGGGCTGTCTCCCACACCTCGTCCCCCGAGGACCTCCTGGTCTTTATCTGCTCATCATCACACTCAAATATTTCCATCCACTGACATTCCTTGTATTCAGGTTCACAACACTGCACTGCCAGAACTTGCAAGTCATCCTAGAGCCACGCCCCTCATTTTTATTGAAGTTGAAGCGGCTCCATCAGGTGGCTCAGTGTGACCATGAGGCGTGTCATCCTTCCCACACTGATCACGTCGAGCATCAATTCATTTTAAAATCCTGCTGGGAGTCGAGGAGGGATGGGGAGGGCATGGGGGGTTGGGGGGTGGGGGCATTACCAGTAAGAAGCACAGACAACACAGTTGCCTCTTTGTGTCAAAAAGCATTTGCTTGTCTTTGTTGGTTTTAAACACAAGCCAAAAAAAATGAGGTGGTTCTCTCAAAATCCCATCACAGCTGAGAAAGGAGGAAGACGGAATGAGGAGAGGGCCGACCTTAGGGAGAGGACCGGCTTTAGACAGAGGACCGGCCTTAGGGAGAGGACCGACCTTAGTCTGTGGGGCTGCAACCAGAAATCTCCTGGCCACCACGTCCTAACAGCAGTCACAAAGTTATTCTCTTCCTGTTTCTTAAACCAAAGCTCACACAGTCAGGATGTAAATATGAAGCTCATTTGAGGCGCTGATGTTTGTGAAATGTTCACGATGAAATCCAGATTTCAGTGACTGGTAGAAAAACACAAGGAAATAGAAAGTATTAAACTCTGTTAGGCAACAGCACTGTACTGACGCTGCCGCGTCGGCAGATTCCTTTCTAATCCCAATATTTACAATCTCAGTGTTTTTTTCTTTACTTGGACTGGAACATGAGGTTCAAAACACAGGTATGGGTCTCAGAAAAAAATATAAAGACCCTAGGTTTAATCAGATCCGTGTGTTGTTTAATTTTATTGACCAAAGTCTGCTGGCTGCAGCAGAGAAACAGGCTTTTTTTTAAATGAATGAGGGAGCGACGGCTCATTAGGAAACAGAATCCCGCTGGTGTGGCCGAGTCTTATACAACCAAACATTTCAGGACACACATGAACCCGGCCAGTGTTGTCTGACACCAGCTGACACTTTCTGGCTGCTTGCCACTCCAACCAGTGATTAGGATTTGGCAGAGAAATGCTGCTTTCCTCCTACACTTCACACCAGCGTTATTCTGCCTGTTTACCACCAGGTGGAGCTACTCAAGAAGAAAAAACAAAAAACAAAAAACAAAAAAACAGGCTGAGCATTTAAAACCAATTTATTTCACTTTAAAACTATTGTGAAAGAGTGAATAAAGTGCAAAGCTGTTTTTCCGAATAAGTTAAATTTAAAAGACAAAAATGATCCCCTCTTTATTGCCCTCTACATCTAGACTGAAGAACAACTGTTAGACTTCTCCTATTCCCTTTGTCACTGACTGGGGCTCCTCTCCCCCCCCCGGACAGCTGTCATCAAATGGCTCTTGTAGGTTTTGCTCAGACCGGTCATCCAGAACTTCAGGAGCCTGACGTTGTCCTCTTCACCAGATCCCGTGGCACCAAGAAGGGCCAGAACCTTCTGGGTGTCGTCCCTCTCTCGGCCATCGACCTTGGAGAACTTGAACAGCACCTTGACTTTACTGAAACACACAAAAACCATCAGACGAGTTCCCTGAAAAGGTGCAGGTGTTCCCTGTAGAACTGGACCAAGAGCACTCACTTCATCCACTCTTCTTTGAGACATAGCAAGCAGTGAGACACCACATCCACAGAAAGGTTCTCGTTGGACAGCGCCACCTCCAGCTTGTTAAGTAACGTTGGTCCTGGAGAACATGTCGACATTCAGAGAATTCTTTAACTTTAGTTTACAGCTTTGACTCAGAAAAAAAGGAAGGAAAAAAAAAAACAGTTTGGACCCAAATGTACGGTCCACCTACAGACGGGTGGAGAACAGGAAGTCAACAACCATGGAGGCGGTCCTACAGTGGACCAGTGGTGACCTCTGGGTCCTTA